ACAAGCCCGGGGACGTGCCAGGTTTTGGGGGAGGAAAGCGAATGATTACTTTTGAGAGCCTTGTGGGATAAATGGCCGGGGTAGCATTGACAATGTGGATGTTGAGTGTTGCAGGCTTGTGCTCCTCAGTGACGGAATAGACACCCTCCGGTGCAACAAAGGTGAGGTCGTTCTCCATGGCAAACCAGGTGGTCGCCTATGATCGTGGCTGGGAGTAGGCCATTATTTCACCGCGTGCGGATCTTACCCAGGCACTACGTTGCTCCTTACAATGATCTTACTGCGAGTATCACCGCGCTGGCCACTGCGCACGGCGAGGAAGGCAAGAAATCTTCTCAATTCATTCATACTCGACTTAACACCCTACAGTAGCCACATGTTCTTGCGAGATTGCAATCATCCGGTACAGGTCCCGACACCGATGGCGCTACTCTTGAGCCTCCTCCAGCTGGTGGTCACTTGCCCTCCATTGCAACCTCAAAACTCCTTCGGACCTCCCGCGATGCAGCATTGCGAACACCAGGCTTACGATGGACAGACGAAGACCCCTCTGGTCCGACGAGAGAGTTGGTGGGAGGGCGTGAGACGCGAAAGATGAATTTATACCAAGCAGTAAGGGACGCGATGAGGTACGCGACTATAGCCCGAAGATATACTTCTGTACAATGATGCACTTCCTCGGCCAGTCATGCAATGATGAAAGATGATACAGCCGTCGTATTTGGAGAAGATGTTGCATTTGGTGGAGTTTTCAGATGCACAATGGTGAGCATATATGTGGCACTCCATGTTAAACATGCGAACTCATCCAAATTTAACAGGGTCTGGCAGAGGAGTTCGGTCCGTTTTAAACGTCATGTCATGCAAGGCTACTTACACTTTCAACAGGTCAGGAGCGCGTATTTAATACACCATTGACTGAACAAGGCATCGCTGGCTTCGGTATTGGAATGGCTGCAATGGGACACACAGCAATTGCAGAAATACAGGTTTATATGCGTTGCCATGATTGCTGACGTCAAAGCTAACTCTTGCAACAGTTTGCGGATTACATTTTCCCAGCATTTGACCAGGTATGTAAGTTTCGTGGTCCCCAGCCATTTCATCCAACGAATTTTTATTCCAGATTGTCAACGAAGCAGCCAAAATTAGATATAGATCAGGCAATCAGTTCAACGTGGGTGGTTTGACCATACGGACACCCACCATGTCAGTCGGGCATGGTGGGCTGTATCACTCCCAAAGCCCGGAGGGTTTCTTTCTTGGCGCGTCTGGAATCAAGGTAGGTTTCCAATGAAACCTATGAGATACAGTAGTGATTCTAAGCTTCCCCAGATCGTTATTCCGCGTTCCCCAATACAGGCTAAAGGTCTCTTACTGGCTGCGATTCGCGATCCGAATCCTGTCATCTTCATGGAACCGAAGATACTTTATAGATCAGCCAGTTTGTGAACCCACATTCAATCGTTATTCCGATACTAATCAGATTTCACATGCGAAGTCGAGCAAGTACCCAACGACGACTACGAACTGCCCATAAGCAAGGCCGAAACACTCATTCACGGCTCAGACGTCACACTTCTATCATGGGGTACACCAATATACCATTGCGAAACCGCTTTATCAATGCTATCGTCTCCCCCGCCGTCGCTTGCAAACTTAGTTCCAGAATCGCTGCGACGCGCAAGAGTGGAGCTGATTGATCTACGCACAATTATTCCTTGGGACGTCGAAACGATCACCGAAAGCGTTAACCGGACCGGTAGATTGGTTATTGTTCACGAGGCTGGTCCGCGAGGCAGTGTTGGAGCAGAAATCAGCGCAGAAATTCAGAAGAGATGCTTTTTGAAGTTAAATGCACCAGTAAAACTTATTGCTGGATGGGAGTAAGTCGCTGAAAGTCTCCTCGTAGGCAAGAAAGCTAGCTGACCGCTTTCTTAGCACCCCAGTCGCTCTTCAATTCGAGAAGTTCTACACTCCGGATGCAATTCGAATTTTGGACGGCATCATGGATACTTTATCATACTAATTTGCTTTTGTATTACAATTCGCCAACATCTAATGCATGGTACCCTGACTTGAACTTCACGAATGAGTGGCTCCATCGGATTTCGAGGCAGACCGCGAGTTTTTATGCAACGAAGCACTCTTGTTCCTGAAAACCACAACCCATCGTGTCAGTACTTTCGCTCGAAACAGCGCAGCCTCCCAATAAGCATGCAGCATCTCCTCTCTCCACCCGTTGATACCCGCCCAGACAACAAATGCACTCCTCATCTCCGGATCCTCTTCTAAACACTCAGCGTATTGTTCCAGATATACAGATCGTTCCACGGAGACGTTCTTGATATGGTCTATGTGAAGCATATGAAGGCCAGAAGTGAACAAAGACAAAATGAGATGCAGGGGCGTGAGCAGCGGAGTGGATGCCAAAGGGTTTCGTTCGTCACGGAGCATTGATTGTGACTGTGAAAGGAATGGTGGGGTGAGGAGTGTCATCGATTCGTCCAATATGGAACGTGGTTCTTCGCATGTCGTGAACTCAATTTCAAAAATTTCGAGAGAACTGGTGTGTATGCGCATCTGGATTGCTCGTACGAATTCTTTCAGGTGAGGGCGAGGAACGGTGTCGAAAAGTGGGACTGCGGAAGGATGATTTGTGTTTGACCGATTTTGAAAAGGCGAATGTGGAGTGCGTGCCAGCGGATGTGGAGAACGTCGCGAAATATGAGGTCCATCAGTTGTTCTGGGTAGACTAGTAAAAGCATCCAATGAATCTGTTATGCCATGCATGATGAAATACGAGCGGTTTAAGATACTAAGCCCATATAACCACCTTTCGATTGGCCGTCGACATGTGGCTGAATGGTTGGTCGTTCAGATTGAATGAAAGAGTGAAGAAAACCACATACTTCATAACTCAAGAGCGGGATCTCATTCATAAGAAGCCAGTACAAGGACTTGATCCATGCCAATCGTCCTGGATCGAGACGAAGGGTCCATCCATCGAGGGAGATTTCACCTAGAACGAGATGCTGTAGATGTTCCTTTGGATTCCGGAACTCCAGCTTCCCGTTGACGACGTCTTGCAGAACAACAGATAGAGCCAGAACCATGTGACGACTTTTTGACGCTTCAGCTTTTTGGGTTGCCTCCAGATAATAGCTTGGCCAGGTAGAGCGAGTTGGTATCAGAATGGTCGACAGCATTTGGAGAGCACTACTTCCGCGGGGACCCTTTTTTGGAGCTCCTTGAGAGAGAAAGAATGAGGATAGCCATACGAACGAAATTGATGCGAGAATGGTGCATGCAGTCGCGACATATGCGTCAGAACAGAGTCCCAACCAGGAAAGGATTGTTTCCGTGAATAGATGATGCACTCTCAGACCGACTGTGGCGGGATTCTGTATGCTGAGATGCCTGTGAGGAGGAAATAGCGACTGTTGCCGGTGAAGGACTTCCATAACGACGGAAGACGCGTCCGTCACAAGAATGTCACAATAAATATCACGCATTTTCCAAGTTAACCTTCTATTGAACGCGAAGCAAACGGACAATATGACTGGGTATAACGGGCAGAGTCATATTTCTCATCCCAACAAGCCTTTGCTCTCCAGATACTTTTGATGTTCATCGCGATGGGCAATGACACTTCTATCCGTCAATTTTCGCCAAATGGGTATCGCAATCTGTAATAACACTCATTACAACACGTAAACTTGCGGGTAACGTTTGGCTTACCCATGCAATATTATCGAGGAAAAAGTCCGCGAAGGCATTAGGGGATGGGGCTGAACCACGAGAAGAAGCCCGGAACAATGAAGTAATAAAATTACCGCTTATGTGGTGGTGACCTTTCGCAACACCTGCGATGCGGACCGAGGACTTAGTTAAGGCAAGCAAATTACGAATTTGACAGACCTTTAAATAAGATCGCAGCTGCTTGCTCTGAAGTGAGTGCCGAGTCATCTTCCTCTATTTTCTTCGTGATGTAGGGCTTTGTTTTCATCTCCTCGTCGTATCCAGGTGTGAGCATAGTGGGGGCAAAGAAAATGTGGATGTCAATGCCATATAGGAGTAGTTCAGACCTGAGAGTCTCGGCAAGGCCTGACGTGAAGTATCAATAGTGCTTAGCCAAAAAAAGCCAAAAAATAGTACCTTTGAGCGCATGTTTTCCTGGTGAATAAGATGTGTAGCCAACAAAACTCATGAGTGCGAGGGTCGACGATATGAATACGATTTTCCCGGTGCGCTTTTCGCGAACTAGCAACTTTGAGGCAGCCTGATTGAATAATGCATGAGGAGGAGAACAAGCGGGATGGGGCGGATGTCCTACGTGTGCTGTCCATGCTTGCACCCAATATGCCTGGTCCATGCCTGCAGTCAGGTCTTCTGATGTGTTTTCCAGCCAATAAAGTGGTTTAGAATTTCCGGCACACAAAAAGTACGCGTCTGATGGGCCACCTGCGGCAGCACGTTCAGCTTCAACAGCTGCGGCCGCGCCATCCGCCGAGTTGAGAGAGAATGAATGATATCTGAAAACTTGTGAGGGTTCTTGACGGTGTTCCTGTCGTATAGAGTAAATAAAGCGGCGTAGAGCACTGTAAGAACCTTCTAACCTCGAGAAGCTTTACAGCCTCCTCCATTTTCTTTACATCTCTTGCAACAATGGTCACATTGGCCCCCTTCTTCGCAAGGAGCACAGATAATGCCAGCCCAAGGCCCTGCGAGCCTCCCGTCACGTAACAACTCTGTGATGGGTCAGTTACTGCGAACGAACCATTTAGACAGACGCGAGCGTACTTTGCCTCTAGGATCCCACTTTCGACTGTTGAGGAACATAGATAAAGTGAAAACAACCAAAAGGAGAGGCAAAAGATAGTAAGCAGAATCTTTAGAAAGTTCGACCATAGAAAACGATGTCAAGCAACTGTATTGCGAAAAGTTGGTTGAATGTAACGTAATGTCCATTGTCCAAATCCTAAAGCGTCAAAAAACATCGGTGTCGACAGGACTCGAACCTGTGCCCTCAGAGAGGAACAGATAGCGCGAAATTCGAATCTGTCGCGTTAACCACTCCGCCACGACACCATAATTCAACAACGAGTTACAAGAATACAAAACTGCCCCCGTTCACATGACATTGAAAATATTAATTCTGTATATTTGACCTTAGGGCTGGTGGCAAACAGCAGTTGCCACAATGTGGCTGGTAAAATAACTAAATTTTCGACTTGTTCATCTGACACCATTCATCATCGTGGCGGCATGGAATCGTCGCCCAAGAAATCCAAGTCACGACGGAGGAACAAGAAGGACTCACGGGCTCCATCAGATGAGGCATCTACTCCCCGTGCACATAGCCCAAGACGCCAACACAAGGAGGACCGTTCAAATGCGGTGGCTGGACCTTCAAACCATAGCAGACCCCGCAGACGTGAATCTCCCCGAAGTGAAGATGTTCTAGACTACGATAACGGAGGGTGGGGAGGTTCATCGAAGACGAACGAAGTCACCAGTTGGTCAGGAGATTTTACGACCGGGGACGACTTCATCGCTTTTGAACCGTCGTTTGATGAAGGCGAGGATCTCCCTGCGCAACCAGTTCGAGAATGGGACCGCGGAAAACCAAGAAACTGGGATAGGGCGGACGATCGTGCCAAACGGAAGCGTGGCGACGACTACGATGTGAATGACGGATACGCAAACAAGAAGCAGAGGGTTAATGCCGCGGCAAGGAAGGCGCCTTGGGCTCAAGACGTTGATTGGGAGAGTTGTACGAATGTTGCAGAGATGTAAGTTCATTACTGTAGTGCACACACGATTGTCGTATTGACTGTTTTCCTCAGGTTACAGCGGGAAGTGACTGCATTCGTTGATTATATTTCACCAACTCCCATAGAGCACGAGGTCCGGACGATGACTATCCACCACATCTCAAAGGCTGTTCGCAGGCAATATCCTGATGCCCAGGTCCTTCCTTTCGGCAGCTTCGAAACAAAACTATATTTGCCACTTGGGTTAGTAGACACATTGCAGTGCATTTATTTATTCTGACGAGCTGAAAGTGACATCGATTTGGTCATTCAGTCAGACGAAATGGCTTATTGTGACAAAGTGTCCACTCTCAAAACGTTGGCAAACATTGTGAGGCGTGCAGGAATCACTGATCAAGTCACGATCGTTGCGAAAGCAAAAGTCCCAATAATTAAATTCGTGACGACCCACGGTGCGTGTTTCAGTACCGATCAACAGCGGATGGCATACCAACGGCGTTGCTACCTCAGGTCGTTTGGCAGTCGATATCAGTATAAATCAAGCAAATGGCATTGCAGCAGGGATAATGGTCAATCGATTTTTGGATGAAATGCCAGCCTTGCGAGGTCTCATTCTTGTTACAAAATCTTTCTTGAATCAGCGGAGCATGAATGAAGTGTTTTCTGGTGGCCTGGGGAGTTACAGTATTGTCTGTCTTGCCGTCAGCTTCTTGCAAATGCACCCTAAAATTCGGCGAGGAGAGATCGACCCGTCACGGAACCTTGGTGTACTCGTCATGGAATTCTTCGAGCTTTATGGCCGATATTTCAATTACGAAAAGACCGGGATATCAATTCGTGAGGGAGGTTCATACTTCAGCAAAGCTCGAAGGGGATGGCTGGACGATCGAAAACCACATCTGCTCTCAATTGAAGACCCTGGTGACATCAGTGGGTCATGGCTACTTGTTTGCAGGTCCACCTTTTAAACTTTGTTCCTTAGGCAACGACATTTCGCGAGGCTCCTTCAGCATAAAGAATGTACGACAGACATTCGCAGGCGCTTTTGAGATAATGACAACTGCGGCGTATTTGCGGGCTGGGATTCTTTCTTCACGTCGCCAAGGTCAGTACGTGAACCTTCGCCACCGTGGTCATGACCGCCTAGACCCGGAGGAAATGAGCATACTCTCCAGCGTTATGGGTGTCACGCAGGAGGTGAGCCACCCTCTACAGTGGATGCTTCATTCTGACTTTGTATTGTTCCAGACCATAAACCACCGACGCCTTGTACGAGAGGTCTTTGACAAAGGCACTCTTCATCACATTGTTGGAGTACCGAAGCCTGACGCTGTCTCAACGAATGGTATGACGAATGGAAGGCATGACTCTTCTTCTTCACGACAGTCCGGTCGCTCGAATCGCTCCGCCGAAGCTGAGAGTGTTCTTGAGGCGTACGGCGAGGCCGATATGGATATGAGCTCTGAAGAAGAACGCGACTCACGGCGGCACAGGCGAGATGAGATTGAGAGCCGATATGACATCAATTCTGATCGACGTGACAAAAAGCGTCGCCGGACCAGCAAGTCGCCGGAAGTTGCATCAGCAGTGTACACTGCTGATGAGGACGACGACGACGAGCATTACCATCACCACCGCAAGGACAAGAGGGACAATTTTTCGAAATACTACGGTCTCCAGGATAATGGGAGTCTTGACGAGGAGGAAGATGAGTATGGGCTGATTGTTACAAAGGCTGAGGATGCACGACTTGAGGCTCTGGGCACTAGCAAGTCAGAGTCTCGATCCGATACCATCGATAGACGTAGGAAGTATTGGGCTTCTAAAGCATCATTTTCACGCGAAGGCGATTTAGCGGAGTGATATATTATGTATATTTGGTTAATAATCAACGCTGTCTGCCCGCAGAAAATAATTGCTTGCAAAATGTCAATGTAGGTATTGAATGTGAAGATGGGAAATCCAGAGGATGATTGCGTGAGATAGGATGACTGTGATGTACGAGCAAAACATTGTGCAAAACGAGAATGATGATTTAAAAAATATGTTAGATTGGATTAGCCGAGAACGCGATGAGAATTGATCCAGGGTGCCTCGACATCATCTTCGCCGAGATCAACAGTCGGCAACACAGGTAATCGTTTGTTACTCGAATTGAAGCGTAGCGGGAACGTTTTGGAACGAATACTGGAGAATGACGACCGCGTAGACGTCGAAACTGTGTCATCAAGAAGCCGCTTTGGTGCCAGATGCGGAGACTTGGCTGGTAAGTCCGGTGCCACCTGCGTCGTCTCAAGATGCGGGGACGTAGGCGTCCAGGGTTGTGGTATGTCATGAGTGGCCGGCATCGACCCTGGAACACTTGGGAACTCGTCGAAAATTTCACGATCGAAGCTGGGGCTAAATATTGACGGGGATGTGCCCGTTGAAATCATGGATGTTGGACGAGAACGCGCTGGAGAGCGATCGAGGTCCCGTATTGTGGGGCTCAATGCCAGTGGAGTGAACGCTGGAATAGGCGATGGTGGGCGGTTGTTGTCTACACTCGTGTCCTCTACGAAAATGAAGATTAGAATCACGGAATGAACAACATGCAAAAAACGTACCAGGAGGAGACAAGGTGATATTTGACCTCCCCGCGCGTGACAACAACTTATTCACCAAGGTTGCAGACCGAGTGATCGCACGCTTCCGTGCCGATTTTGGTGACAAGCCTCCTACAGACCTTGAGCTTCTTAACGAGTGTCCATCAATCGACCCCAGCTCCGCAAGATCGAAGGACGGCGACGGAGGCGTAGCAACAAAAGAGGAATCCACCGATGACATTTCTGACGACGAGCTACCCCGCTGGTGCTTTTGCTTCTGCTGGAGGTCTTGTTGATGGTACTGCACAGAGGAGGTGCGCTCGCGACGGGGAATCATCGATCCCACATGAATGGTACTTCGCCATGACAGGCCAGCTTTCGGGGGTGGGGTGGGTGGAATCTCGACCTCGCGCACGGATTTGCTACGCGAGAGTTGTGCTTGTGCAGTCGAAGCTTTCCGTTCCTCGACGGTCTGTGGTCCGACTGCCACAACATTCTTGGCAGCTAACCCAAATACGTCTTCGGCTGGCGAGGGAGGTGTTCGAGATATGGGAGATGCCGAAGGAGAGAGCTTTGGAATCTTGCTGACCTTCAGCGGTGTGTCCTTCTTTTCTCCACTGCCACCAGTCAACTGCTCCTCCAACATAGCCGCCTGGGCGGCGAGCGCGAATAACTCGGGCGAACCAGGAGTCATCGGCTCCATCCGAACAGGTATGCGTGAGCGTAAGGTGAGTACTTGCTGGTGCGGTTGTGCCCGAGGGCTTTGCTCTCGCTCCTTTGAAACCTGATCAGAGCTGGCCTTAAAGGTGGTGGAAGCAGTGGCATCCGTAGTCCGCCCATGTACGACGACAGAGAATGAGGGTGGGTGTATTGGCAAGGAGACCGTTGGCTCATTGTACTCTTGCACATATACCGGAGGGGGAATGGGATATGCCCGGCGGCGTGTCGAATCATGTCTGGACGACGTGGAAGGGCCATTCCCGGAGGACCCTCTGGGCTGGGTCGACTTGTCCACCGCGGTATCGTCGGATGTGTCTGTCCTACCTTGCGAAACGTTGCGTGATCCAGAGGTTGACGTCACAGACTCTAATTTCTTCGGGGGAGCAGAGAAGACAGGAAGTCGTGATGGAGCGGGAGGAGATCCAGGGACTGCCACCTTTGCTCCCGCTGTTGAATCTTGGCCTGCGGTGTCGAGGACTTCATCATGAACAAACTCCTCAGTCATTGGCGACGGCAAATCAACCTCAGGACCATGCACAAACGACAGTGGAGACGGAAGGGCTTGAGGAGCAGTTGAAACGTCGTGGTGTATCTCAGAATAAGGTGTGAGTGGAGGGCTGGGAAGGTCCTGGTCTGGAAAAGGGCGGGATAAAAGGCTAAACGGAGACTGCATGGCTCCAGGGCTTGATTCGTCAGGATCATCGTTCTTTGGAATCTCCTCATTCACTATAAGTTTTGGAACGACTTGAATGTCCACTGGTGATAGCGATAGGTTCTGGACCCCGGGAGGCGACGGTGGCAAAGCATCTTCGTTTGCATCTTCTTCAATCGAATCGCTGGCGTGCGCGGTGCTGACACGGTCAATTTCGACTGACAGTGAATCCAATGCGACAGAGTCACTCGAAGGTACGACAGCACCATCTGTCTCACCATGAGTAGAATCAGTAGATAGGATTTCCAGGCTGTTGGAGTTGATTGGCAAGGACTCCAATGTAACATCCTCAGTTGG